CCTCGACATGATGTCCTGATGCCTGGAGGCTGTGCGGATCTGGATGGGGAGGAACAGGCTCAAGGTCAATCCCTCAAGACTGGGTGGCTGTGGTTTCCGTCATCCCGATTTGTGCATCTTGTTCTATCTTTGATGATAGGGGGAGAAATTTTAGCCCTTTCAGAGTAGTTTAGAAGAACACCTGATGGCCGTGACCAGGGGGGCCTTTTACCAGGTTCGCCTGGTATCTCAGTTGCGTCCCTTCCTGGATCGGAATGCTCTGTGCACAGTCACTCATGCCCGTGTCCTTTCTCACTTGGACTACTGTAACACTCTCTACATGGGGCTGCCCTTGAAGAGCACCCGGAGGCTGGTCTAGAATGCAGCTGCGCAGGTTATCATGGAGGTACTTAGGTGATCCCATGTTACACCCCTTTTAGGTGGCCTGCACTGGTTGCCGGTTGTTTTCCGGTTGCGATTCAAGGTACTAATAATGACCTTTAAAGCACTCCATGGCTTAGGCCCAGGGTACCTGCGAGACTACCTACTGCCACCAGTAGCCTCCCACCATCCAGTGAGATCCCACAGAGTTGGCCACCTCAGGGTGCCGTTGGCCAGACAGTGTAACTTTTATAATATGTGTTTTTTTATGTTGTACACCGCCCTGATCCTTTGGGAGAAGGGCGGCATATAAATCCAATAAACAAACAAACAAAAAACTATCGTAGGATATGCAATATAGATAATTGCATGCTACATATAAATAAATTGTCAATTTTTAAAAAGGAATTTATCTGCCCATTTAAGGGAAGATCAGAAATCAAAGCTCAAGAGGGCTTAGTTGCAAACACTAGTGGGATAATAAATATGCCTTTATCAAAATAGATTTATGTAGAAAATAATAATTGCATCCAGATGGAACAAGATTGATAAAAGATTTGTTCATCCAGTGATCATAATTACAACTTTTTAATTTTATGAAGCAACTAGAGATTTGAACTCACTGGAATGAAATGGTTATGGTGTAGGGGTTCATGGGAAAGAGTATGAGTCTACTTACAGAGGCATGCTTCTAAGTCACAAACCCAGTTAATTATTTCTTTCTTAAACTCATTTTTATGACATATTTTATTTATTGATCCTACAAAATAAAACTTTTTTTCAATAAAAGTTCTGATAATTAAGTAAGCTTAATGATGTGTTAGTGTTTCATTTATAGCAGTGATTCTTAAAGGGTGGTCCTAAAATTCTGGGAAGTCTCCCCAAGACTCTCGGGGGACCACAAGATCACCATTATTTACCAGCCTATGTTGAAAAATAATGCAATATTAAAACTCCAACAAGCAATTCTTAGAAGTGGTACCAACAAATGTGTCAGTTTTTGTTTTTAATACATGAAATATTGATAATTGCACTCCATACACACAAATCTCTTGAGGTCCTTCATAATTTTTAAAAGTGAGAAGGGTCCTGAGAAAAAAAAAGTTTAAGAAAAACTGATTTATAATTATATTTAGCTATAACCCTCAAAGTTGCTTGGGTGCTATTATGTAAGAATCACTCAAATCTTTCCATCTAATGTTCCTCCTTGTTCAATCATAGTTTAATTATTATAGATTGAAGCAGGTTGGAATATCATAAAAGACCCAGGTGGCAAGGATCAGTGCTTTGGGTTCATTTTCAAGAAGGTAATTTTGAAACCAGGGGTACAAAAAATAGCATCTGTTTGCTTTCCTTGGATCACAGGAATCTCTAAACCTAACATGGTTATGTTGTCCTGGAAGATAGTGCCTAGCTGCTCTAATCTTGCAGATGTTCATTAAAAGGTATTTTTCCCATATGTATATTAGAGCTTTTGATAAGTAATTGGGTTATATTGGATTAAATCTAGAATGACCATTCTCTGAATGGAAAATCTTACATGTAGAAGGAAGTGGAATCCAGCAGAGGCTCGTGCCAAGGTGGTAATGGGGAGGAGTTGATTTTGCCCTTTCTTATGGACAGGTAAGCAACAGGTAGAAATTGTTGGAGCCATCTCATTTAGATGTTCTAATTAAAACTGATTCTAAATCCCTGGATAATTGATTCAGATCTATGTTTAAGCAAGTATAATTGCTTTCATTTCATCTTGCATTGCGAAGACAATAAGGCTAATGTGAAATTTATGATGTGAGCATAGAAATCAAGTTTCATTCTGATCAGTCTTAAACATCAAGGGAGAGAAAACTATTATACTGTGATTAACTTGAAGAAACATTGCCATTCTGAAATGTCAACCTAATTAATTCAATATCCTTTTATCAGAGGAAGTAGATAAAGTTTTCTGCAACACTAGTATGAACTGATGTTGCTCTCCCAGGTCTTTATTTTGCTATTATGAGGTACAGCCTTTATATATAAGCATTTATTTTTTACCTTAGAAATATTTTGAGCATTCACCCAGGTATATATTACCCTTAGAGGGAAAGAATTTAATGGAGAACTGAATTTATAATTATTATATTCTATATTACAATATTAAATATATTGAAGCATTTGTGCTTAGATGGAGATGATCCTAATCATCAGTATATTGGGTCTTGGATCCTGAAAATTTCTCCATATATTTTTTCCTCTCAATAACTCACTTTACAAGGTGAGGATTTTCCTTTACTAAAACAACCAAGCTTTGATTGTACGGGTAATCCTCAATTTACAACTATTAGTGACCAAAGTTACAATGGCACTGAAAAAAGACACTTATATGGCCAATTTTCTAACTTACAACCATTGCAGCATCCCCATGGCTACATGATCAAAATTTGGGTGCTTGGCAAGTGGCATGTATTTATGACAGTTGCAGTGTCCCGAGGTCATGATCACCTTTTGCTATCTTCTAACAGGCAGAATCAATGGGGAAGCCAGATTCATTTAATAAACATGTTATTAACTTTAACAACTGCAGTGATTTGCTTAACAATTGGCAGGAAAGATCTTCAAATCGGGCAAAGTTTATTATAATGCCAGATGTTGCTTGTCCATAGGTAAACACATTTGTATATATGGCAATCAGATGGATTAATTTTAATATTGACCAGTTTCTTTAACAATGAAATTAGCTTTATTCTGAATGTATTTGATAGTTCAAAATTATTTTTAATACAGTGTCATAAATTGTCATAATTGTGGGCATAGATGGTTTTAAAGAGAAATTATGGAAAAAAAATGGATTCCATTAGTAGTAGCCATTATAGCTAAATGAAGCTTCTATTTCAGAAGCAATATATCATTAGATAATATTTTTCTTAGGGGGGGGGAGAAATAAGTAACTAATCTCATCTTTATTATTCATTTATAAACAACTCAAGGTGGTGAGTGTATCTAATACTCCTTCTTCCTCCTATTTTTCCCAACAACAAGAAGCCTGTGAAGTATGTTGAGCTAAGAAAGAACAACTGGCCCAAAGTCACCCAACCAGCTTTCATGCCTGAGGCAGGACTAGAACTCCGTATCTCCTAGCTTCCAGCCAAGTGCCTTAACCATTAGAACAAACTGCCTCATTTTTCCCTTTTTTTCATGCAACAGAGCTTTTATCTCGAAAAATTCATATGGTACAGTTGAAACAACTTTCTCTTTGAAAATGTACTTGGTAATTTTAATGAAACAAATTAATAAAACTAAGCTGTATTTAAGAAAAAACTATGATCTGTTGTCAAATTAATTAATATTAAGAGTTAAAATGTTCTAAGCATTGATTTTGGTAATCTTAAGCATCAATTGTGGGATTCAAAAAATACTCGTTCTGTGGGTGTGGCTTGGTGAGCGTGGCAGGGGAAGGATACTGTAAAATTTCCATTCCCACCTCACTCCAGGGGAAGGATATTGTAAAAACTCCATTCCATCCCCACTCCAGGGGAAGGTTACTGCAAAATCCCCATTTCCTCCTGATCAGCTGGGACTTGGGAGGCAGAGGATAGATGGGGCAGGGCCAGTCAGAGGTGATATTTACCGGTTCTCAGAACTACTCAAAATTTCCACTACTGGTTCTCCAGAATTGGTCAGAACCTGCTGAATACCATCTCTCGTATGCAAACATACAATATTCCAAAGCATACTTCTGAGTTTTGATTATATTTACAATTGCAATTTTAAATGTAAAAGTATTTTTGGGGGGCAACCACCTCTATGTTACTGTAAATGGGCTGCTGCAGAATGGGAACATACTGTACCTATCCTGATGCTCCTTGATTCTATTACTGGATTTAAAATTGTGTATAAGTCAGGATACGTTGATGAATTGTATTTCAGTTTTCCTGATCCATGTTTCTTAATAATAATTAACTATAATGAATAAATACATAAACAACAAAAGTAAGATAAATAATTAAATAAAAAAAATTAAAGATAGGAATCACAGTGACAATACAGGGCTGTTGCATAGACAACATGGAATATGAAATTATCCTAGGATGGCTGAGACAGCAGGAGGTAAAAAAGCATCTATAGAGAAACAAATAAAAAGCTAAAATATATGCTGATTTTGAGGAGCATATATGAGAAGAATTATTAGTCAAAGGCACTGTGTCTGCTCATGTTAAGCTGTTTTTTGTTGTCCTGGGGTCTTTTGCAGGATTATATTCTTGCAAATCAACAGTGAAAAGCTAAAAATTAGCAGCTCAGTTTTCTGCTTTTTAAAAAAGTATAAAGTAGATTTGTTAATCTAAGATTAACAAGTAAACCCTGCTAAAGCCACAAAAGACCCCCCCCTAAAAAAAACCATTATCGTGTACCTGAATTTTATTTTATTCAGTCCCCAGTCACAAAAATATGCAATATCAGAGCCTATATCCAACAAGTGAAACTGGACTCCCAGGAATGTCTATTCTAATTTAATCCATAGCTTATCAATATTTTGTCAAAAAAAGTAAAGTATCTTTTGAGTCTTTAATATTCTTGAGACAAGTTCAGCTCCAGATAGCTACATACAAAGAAAATTGTTGGGTTTTTCGCAACTACTTGGAATTGGTTTGCCACTGTCATCTTCCAAGAGGTTTTCAATTTGCAGTATACCCTATTTCCCTGGAATTTTATGTGGTAGCTAGTCTTAAGTGATCTGATTAGCCTTTTTGAAAGCTCAGGGCTGCCAACTTAACTTTCTGTTATTCTGCTGTTGCAGAACAAATCAACCATCCTGGGCCCAACGGCTGGTTTTCCTACATGTGCAGAGCAAATGTAGAAAAACCAGTTGAAGACCATATTTTGTTATTTAATAGTATCAATTACATTAGCTAACTGACTTGACCTTGTATGAATGCTGTGGTCTTTTATTTAAAGTAAACCAATCTTGTATATTTCTGTTTCAATCCCCAGTTTCTTATTTAGAAAGGGATATCATAATTCCTTAGAACTTTTTCACTTCGATGCATAAACTATTCCCCACAGTATGTTTATTACTATTTGAGTCTTTAACATGTCACAATATTTTCTCTTGGAGGACAAAACTATTCAAAATAATGTTTAAAAAAAATTCAGACAAGATGTTTGGGAGCAGCAAGGATTCTTGCAATACCTTATTAGAGGATTATAAGTATTTGCAAAACTATTTCTTCTTTTTAAAAAATCACAAATACTTAATGGTCTGAGAAATATTAAAGTGTTGGTGTAAGAAAGGAAGTGTTGGTGCGAATCTAATTCAAATATTATTTGTATTCACTTTCTGTTACGTTTAGGTAGACAATGTTACTAGCCCAGATAAATCGGGATTCTCAGGGAATGACAGAGTTCTCTGGAGGAGGGATGGAAGCTCAGCATGTCACTCTCTGTTTAACAGAAGCTGTAGCTGTACAAGGTAAGTTTTTTGGATAATCCCCTTTCCAACAAGCCCAAATATATTTGAACTTAAAAATAAAACACAGTGGTACTGTGGGTTTTAAAATGCTGCACAAAATTCACTCAGAATTTATCCCAAAAGTTAAAATGTCTTAGTAGTTCATGCAGTAGAGGTGTAGTAAGTGCTGCAATACCAGTTGTTGTTTTTATTGTTGTAGATGGAGACAACTTGGACAATATGGAAGGAGTGAGCTTACAGGCAGTTACTCTTTCTGATGGATCCACTGCCTATATACAACACAACTCAAAAGGTATATCTAGAAGACCATTATTGCAATTTATTTAATAAAAATAATCTCAGAAATTTATTATTTCATATTGTGACCAGTTTACAAAGTTATTGTATTTGTTATGATATTAATAGAAGCTTCTCACAAGCAAGTGACTCTGGTCAGCATACAAGACTTAAACAAAACTAAAATAATAAACATCTAAAATCATTATCATTAACAAATTTTAAAAACATTAAAAACTAGGAATAATAAACAGAGGATGTTAATAGTCAAGAAGCCATCTCACTAGTTTACATGATCTTTGGTCTGCAAGCCTGCTGACATAACCATATCTTGAGGGACCTTTGGAGGCTTAGAACAAAAAGTGTTCTTTTTTTAGTCATTTTATTTAAAGATTGAACTTTTGTAGCTATTTTATTTAAAAATAACATAGTTCAAAATGTAACATTGGGGTCAAGTCTAAAAAAAATAGATGTAATTACATTTCTTTCAAATCCAGATCAGTCTAGATATATGTGAACAGCATCCCAATGTTTATTCTGAAAATGAATTTGAATTGCTTGTTTGGTTGAGAAAGGGGAAAAGTAAATTAAAAAAATAAGTATCCTCTGATTTTCACACACATATAACTTATACAGATACACTCATTCCCCTAGTTGTATTATTTGAGTAAAAGAATGATGAAGTCAAAATATAATTAACATTAACGTAAGTGGATCTTCTTTCTTGGCTGCATTATGAGCACCAATCCAAAATCAGAATATATGAATGCTGTTACCCCCAGAATGTCTTCTAGTCCATATGATCTCTTTCTTAATAATCTCTCTGGGAAAGTGAGAGGACAGTCATATTAATTCAGCTTCTCAGCCTCCCAACAGGTCATCTGATTCAACTTGAGTTAAGCAACTTGAGGACATTTTCTGTATACAGTAATTCCAGTGCAGCAAGAAAGACATATATAAAATCCAAATGCTGGATGCTGAGTTTGGAGAATAACTATGGAAAAATTTCTGCATGTTGAAAATGCATTCCATGGTTAAATTTGCAGTGTAGCCTGTTTTTTTGGAGCTTGCTCCTCTTGATGGAAATGATGGGCTATTCAGTATTAAATATACTTCTATTTCAGATGGCAAATTAATGGATGGCCAGGTGATACAGCTGGAAGATGGCTCAGCTGCCTATGTCCAACATGTTCCCATGTCTAAAAGTAGTAAGTATATTTAATTAAATACAAATTTCAGTCTATTGATTTCATAATAAAATTAATTATGCTTTGTTATTTTAACACTGCATAAAATATAATTGTTTGAATTTTGAAGTTCATTATTAATATATTTTCTAGTGCAAGTTAAAATGTTAAAATAAGGACTTGAACATTTGTAATGATGGGATATTGCATCTTTGAAATTGTGTTTTTCCTTTTTTGATGTAGGAGACAGTCTTCATTTAGAAGATGGGCAGGCAGTTCAGCTTGAAGATGGAACAACAGCCTTTATACATCACACTTCAAAAGGTAAATTCTGTGTCAATATATTATTGACTTTCCAGTAAGGTTATCTCAATTTTTCTTCAATTTATGAAATATATTATTCAAGATTTGCCCTACATCAATACATTTCTTTACAGAACACCCAAAAGTTAGTATATGTTTTCACTTAGGGAAAGTATTTTTCAATTACTGACTTTGTGGCTTTCAGTCTTAATTCCCTTATTTCCGGAGAGAGCATATGGGATTATAGAATCACATCAAACAAAATCACCTGAGTTATTTCTTTCAACAGACAAGTACCACTGATGACATTTTGTTGATGGGAAATACAAAACAACACATTTATTACTAATCACATAAACAATGTATATGTTCTAAACTATTGCAAATAACCAGTGTATTTCAAATTGTATTTATACCATAACACAAGAAATTTATTTTTCTGAAATCTGAATCTTTGGAATTTTACTGCATAAGTTTAAAAAAAAACAATTAAAACATTCTATAATTGTATATACAACTCAAGTTTATTCTATAGTAGGTTGGTGCAATGATCTGGATTCAAAGGTGGGAAGCAATTCAGAACACATTTATTTACCAATTGATAATTCCTTGAGGGTGGATTTTATTTAATGAAGTGAGAAAAATGCACTCATGGACATTCAAAATATTTTTTCTGCTAATCCATATGGCTTCATACCTATGTTCTTAAATTTATCCTGAGTTTGAAGAATAAAAAGTTCTTTTGCTAATGTACAAAACTACTGATGCATAAATATGTAAAGTGGTAATAAGATTTAGCCCTCTAAATGCTGGATATTAACTGCTAAACCTTCTATGAATAAATTCATACACATATTCTTGTTTTAAAGGTCAATTGATGTACTGTATACTTTATTTTAACAATGACCTTAAAATGCCATACTTTAAGAAATATCCCAGACCTCTAGGATTTTATTCATAGGTGATTTAACTAGTAGAAACTTAGACAGGTGAATTTGTGGGACCATGCAGATTTTAGATTACCTGCCTGCCTGGGTAGCTAAAGATATGGGCCATCTATAGAAGCTGCTGGATATATCTTGGGAGCTGGTAGATCTAATGATATTTAAACATTGTATTCATAGTCCTTTCTATAACGAATGACAGAATTTACAATAGGATGCTGATTTAATTATGCTATTCCTTTTAGGACAGATAGATGATCTCTTGTCTTAATATTCATCTTTTAATAATTTATCAGACAGTTACGACCAGAGTGCCCTGCAAGCAGTACAACTAGAAGATGGGACCACTGCTTACATTCACCATGCAGTACAAGTGCCACAATCGGACACCATATTAGCTATTCAGGCAGATGGCACAGTGGCAGGTCTTCACACGGGAGATGCTACTATTGACCCAGATACCATAACTGCTCTCGAACAATATGCAGCCAAGGTACTTTGCTCTACAACTACATATAGTTTATATTGGTGAACATGATAAAATCAAAGTGAATTATATTGCAATTAAAATATGATGTAACAAGAGAGTAGCTAGTAGTCAGGCTCGTATATGGTTTAGCATGTTGTGTGAACTCATAATTGTGACTTATTCAATAAAACATATTTAGGGTAATCCTGTGCAGTATGTGAATCCTGTTATTTAAACCAAACTAGCTGTACTTAAATATATAATAGAATTGATATTCAGAAAGGGTTTGAATGGAGGTTGGAAACAGTAAAAAAGACTGGAGAATAGTACAGCAAACCATTAGAAGTACAATCAAAGAAATGCAGACATAATGAATATACCAGATATTAAATAATTAATAGAAACATAGCACCTCTGTTTTTTATATTTTATATTTTGAGCAAACAAAAAAGATCTTAAGAAAATAATTCTTATCATAAATCATTCACCTGCAAGGAAAATTAATAATAGAAATAGCAATAGCACTTAAGACTTAGATATCACTTCACAGTGCTTTTACAACCCTCTCTAAGTGGTTTACAGAGTCAGCATATTGCCCCCAACAATCTAGGTCCTCATTTTGCTGACCTTGGAAAGACAGAAGGCTGAGTCAACCTTGAGCCAGTGAGACTCAAACTGCCAAACTGCAGGCAATCAGCAGAAGTAGCCTGCAATACTGCATTCTAACCACTGTGCCATCACAGTTCATAACATATCTTAGTGTCAATAAATCAGTTGTATAATATAGTTCCTTGAAGATAAAAATGTTAAAATAATTACATTTTTAAAGATGATTTTAATAACAAATAACAAGGGTTTAGGAATTTCAACAGTGGTGTGCTAGAATTTTTTTCCCCTCTGGGGCAGAATTATCCTCATTAGGAATTCCTATTCCTGCAAGAAAATATGCATTGGCTCCTAAAATGTTATTCTGGAGAATTATGGAATCATTAGACAAATATAATGGATAATAGACAAAAATTGTATCTTCTGTTTTTCCCAACAAACCTTCCACTTGAGGAAAGACTCTTCTATAAGCAGAAGGACTATATCTGCATTCAAACTAATATTAAGAAATTTACCAGGCATATTTAAGAGATCTTGGCCTTTGTTTGCATATATGTTTCTCTGAAAATAAGACAGGGTTTTATTTTCTTTTGACCCCCGAAATAAGTGCTTGGCCTTATTTTTGGGGAAGTCTTATTATTTTTGAAGTGCAAGAGGCAGAGAACGTGGTCATCTCATGGCTGCTGCTGTGTTGCAATATTTTCGGGGAGGGTGTATTTTTGGGGGACAGCTAATTTTAGCCCATGTGCTCAAAAGTTCAATTGGGCTGAGTATCCGGGGAGGTCTTATTTTCAGGAAAACTTGGTACTATAATTAATTTTAGTGCCTTAGATTGCAATTTTGTACATTGCAGTGACAATGCAGCACTACCTACTCTGCAGCCCCTAAACCAATTGTAGTTTGGATGCCCTAATTGTTATTTAAAACAATCATGGGAAATAAATTAAATAGAAACTTAATTTATTGTGTAATACTATTTGATTAGGTTGATAAAGAGTTCATAGTGAATAAAATTTTGTGAAAGTGAACAAGCACAAAGCAGATTTTTAAGTTATTATTCTTTTTTATTTGCAGGTGTCTATTGATGGAAGTGACAGCGTTAGTAGCACTGGGATGATAGGTGACAGTGAACAAGATAAAAAAATGCAGGTATGTAATAATCTAATTTGTCCTGTTTTTTAAAAAAAACTAGAATGAAAATAAATCCTTAGTTTTGTTCGCTAAGGGACTTGCTCAGTATAAAAAAATTTATAACATGAATATTCTATTCTTGACCATAAAAAGAAATGTGTTATACTAAGTATAGAATGTGCAGAATGCCTTTCCTAATACCGTTAAATCATATTGTCCATTCACTGCAGAAAAGGGTTGAGATGGATATAAATAAATTTCATCCAAGGATAATCCCTCCTCTCTATTGCAAGATGAAAAAGACTACAAGTGGGCTTTCTCAGAGCATTGCTGTTTCTACATGTATTAGAGAACTGTACCTTTCATGGGTGTGGAATTCTCTCATTTCAAAATTGTACATTGCAGTTTGATGAAATATCCAAATTGTATCAAACTATTTTACATACTTATAAAAGACTTTCTTTTTAGATACAATTTTATTAACATAAATAAAAATTAGTTTAAAAAGCACCATGCGGTTTTGATAAACTGCCTGAATTTTTTCTTTGAAAACCTCTATCAAAATAAATCAGATTAGTCCAAAATAGCATTTATTGGCAATTCACTTTGAGGGCTGGGTAGAGTTTTAGAGCTAGCTTTAGATACATATAGGTGTGTGTTGAAAAAGCCTTTTCTTGAAATAATGCACTTTTAATGAATTGCCCATGGATGCTTTTTTGAGCATGCTATATGTATTTTCCAAAGCACCTTCTCCCCTTCAAAGCTAATGCTACAGATCCCTGTTTATTTGTACTTCATATTTCAAGACAATGTCCCTTTATGTAATTTTTAAAAAAATCTTAAACTTAATGATTAAGAAATCTTTAGGAAAATGCTGATATTTAGGTGCCAAAAGATGTAGGAAGCATTTTTATTTGTACCGTTTTAAAGAACTCTTGTTTTAAAATGCAGGTCCTTTTCTAGAATTTAAATATGACTGAAATGTTAATATTCTCATTTCTTCCCATTTAGATTGTCTTGCAGAGCCATGGCACAAGAGTAACAACTAAGTCCCAGTCAACTGGAGATAAGGCTTTTCGCTGTGATTATGATGGCTGTGGAAAATTGTACACTACTGCTCATCACCTTAAGGTTATTATTGAAAAACTATTCAAACCTTCCAGTTGTTCTTTGCAATTAAATCTGAAAATGATAGAAATGCAGTCAACGTGTGACAGATGATAGTTTAAATTTTACCTCTTTTTGCAGGGATGCTACATATATTTTTATAATTCTGAGTGTACTTTTAAGTGCTTAGTCATATGGCTCTCTCTCTCTCTCTCTCTCTCTCTCTCTCTCTCTCTCTCTCTCTCT